GACAACTTTGACATAATAACACACTGATAAACAGATGAATGAATGAACGAACGAACAAATGGATGAACACATATGTGAATGGCCATAAAAGCTAATACAAACAGAGCTTGTATTCAATAAATGATTAATTGATTAGGCGTTCAAGCAATCAATCAATCGTTCAATCATTCATTCATCCATTTATTAAGTCATATATTCGTTTGTCCGTTCATTCATTCATTCAATCAATCGTATGTTCACTCATTCATATATGTACATTTGTATTGTGAAAATTTTCTTTGAACAAATATGCAAATTTTAAAATAGCTGTGATAGGAAACAATTTGATATTGCAAAATTAGAAAAACAAATAATGTAAAATAACTTAATAAAAAAACTACTACTACTACTACAACCCTACTACTACTACTACTACTACTACTACTACCACTACTACTACTACTACTACTACTACTACAACCACTACTACTACTACTACTACTACTACTACTACTACTACTACAACTACTACTACTACTACTACAACTACTGCTGCTGCTGCTTCTGGATGCATGTGTGTGCATGTATAATAATAATAATAATAATAAAAATAATAACAATAAAAAATGGCAACAACATTTATTTTATACGTAATAAACAACCTACCCTAATAATACAGTGACGGTGAGCACAGCCAGCCAGAGTGTCCAGGCGACTCCGAAGGTCATTGAGTATAATGTAAGTGCCAGCAAAACCCAGCCATGAGTACTCGTTAGTGTAACTGACATCTGGTGGAAAAAATTATTATTTTCATGATTATTGTTGCTATTGTGATTGTAATTTGGAAAAAAAGTATTAGAAGCAGTAGAAACAGTAACAGAAGCAGTAGCAGTAGTAGTAACAGTAGTAGTAGTAGTAGTAGTAGTAGCAATAGCAGTAGTAGTAGCAGTAGTAGTAGCAGCAGCAACAGCAGTAGCAGCAGCAGTAGTAGTAGTAGTAGTAACAATGGTCCCTAGCACTAAATCTATAGAATATTATGTTAAAATCATAGTGGGAGCAGCCCAATGTGGTATTGCCAGGTATAACCATAATAATGTTGTAATAAATTATGTTAATAAATTTGTTTTTAATTTATATTTTATATATGAAAAATAAAGAACGAAAAGAACAAACTTTTGAATATTATTTTTCAATCAATCAGTTAGGTCCACCTGCAGATGTCATTAATCAAATAATTCTTTAATTCTAACTCTTAATTTTATTAGTACATAATTATTATATAATATTGTATTTATATTTTATATAAATTATAAAATCATTTTTAAATGAATTTTAATTTAAATTTTAAAATGTCAAATCCAATAATAAAAAAACACCTATAAAATAAGTTAATTGATTTGATTGAAAAAAACAAATTTACGTGTAATTTTAGTAACTTTTTGGTGCAAAATAAATTTAATTTCAATTTAAGCTTTAATAATAATAATATTTTATTTTTTAATTTGAAAAAAAATAAAAAATTAAATTTATTTTTAAAAAGGGTGTTTTAATTTAGAAAAGATATAAATCGAAAGATAAATTATTTGTTTGAATTATTAAAAACAGCAAATACTAATTTAATTTAACTTAATATATATTTATTTATTTGATATTTATTTAAAATTACATTTAAATGCCAGAAATTAAATAATCAAACATGGTTCTACTAATGGCCACGTTCAAATTTCATATTTCTTATACTTACACACGCATATATATATATATATATATATATATATATATATATATATATATATATATATATATATTAGAGATGCACCGAAGTTCGGCCCCGGCCAAAATCCGGCGTTTTTATCAAATCCGGCCCCGACCGGATTTGATGGCCGGATTTATGGCCGGATTTAAGCGTCTATCGACATTTAAAAATGTTATAAATAGAAAAAAAATTTCATTGAGTTCAATTAATTTTATGTCAATAAGTTAAAAGCTAAGCATACATGACACATAATAACAACATCACTAATTGTGAAATGAGCTGGACAATTTTCTTAATGTGTTTATACTATATAATTGTATATGACGGATCATATAGCTACATTATATATATATACATAGAGATACATAAGCGCATAATTTAAGAACATGGTATGTTAAAGGTTAGGCTAGGCATACATGACACATAATAACAACATCACTAATTGTGAGGTGAGCTGGACAATTTTCTTTGAGCTATAACATGGGTTTATGCATAAATTATAAGCTGATCTTTGTGTAAAAGAATTTGTGCACGTGCATACATGACACATAATAACAACGTCACTAATTATGAGATGAGCTGGACAATTTTCTTTATGCTATAACATGGGTTATGCATAAATTATAAGCTGATCTTTGTGTACAGAATTTGGCGTATCACACAGCTTATTCATATATTTGAATTAATTAACTATTTGCTTGGTGTTATTTTTTGGTGTTCAACATGTAGATAACCGTAAATGTGAGTATTTTTTCTAACGTATGTAAAATGGTAACTAAAATCCGGCCCCGGCCCCGGTCGGTTTTTGAATTTTAAATCCGGCCAAGTCCGGCCCCGGCCGGATTTGAAAAACCTGAATCTGGTGCATCCCTAATATATATATATATATATATATATATATATATATATATATATATATATAAATGAAATCAACTTCATCAAAGAACGCCATCGAGACCATTGTTTTCAACAAATTAGGAAAATACTTAGCAATTTATATCGCGGACCAGTATTGTTGCCACAACACCAAGATCATTTCCTTAATCTTAGTAGCCATCAGTTGACAATAGATGAAAAACAATTTTTGAACCTCGACTTAAATTGTCACCTCATAAAAAACAAACCACAAATAAATAAACATATTGAGATTGAGATGTTGATAAATGAAATTTGGAAACAAAAACAATTAGGAAATGTGAAAGTAAATCAACAATTAGCCAATGAATTATTAAGTGAATCTAACAAAAGACGAAATACGTGTAATAGCAAATTGTTGACGAACGAAATGAAAATTGATGCTAAAAATTTAAAAACTAATAAAAATATAAAAAAAACTGAAAGCCGATAAATCTAATTTATACGTAATATTAGACATAAAACTTATTTATCTAAATTAAATGACATATTGAAAGATGAAATTAAATTTAAACTGATAACTAAAAATACAACACTATCGCTTAAAACGAAAACTAACCAATTTATTCGACAAATCAATGCTAACTCAACAGAACATAAAATACCGCTATTAACTGGAGACTACAGACCAGGTTATATGTATGGTACTGTCAAAATTCACAAAACTGGCAACTTACTTCGTCCAATAATTAGTCAAATACCAACAGTCACATATAATGTAGCAAAATGGCTCAACAACATCCTAACTCCATATATTCCAAATGAACATTGCATTTCTTCATCATCAGAATTTATTCACATCCTAAAAACTAGATCATCATCAGGCATCATATCATCAATAGATGTGGAATCTCTTTTCACTAACGTTCCTGTTGATTCCACAACAGATATTATTTTAAACTATGTATATAATAGTGCTATGAATGCACTAAAAATAAAACCTCAACTGCTAAAACAGTTACTTCAAATCTGCACAAAAGAAGCTCCTTTCTACACTCCTGATGGAAAAATGTAACAGCAAGTTATTGAATTTATATGGTTATATTTTGTTATATATGGTTATATAGATATACATATAGTTTTATAGTGTTTTTGATTATATATAGTTATATAGTGATATATACGGTTATATATATTTATATATAGTTATATAGTGTTATTGATTATATATAGTTATATAGTGATTTAAACGGTTAGATAAATATATATAAAGTTATGTAGAGTTATTGATTATATTTAGTTATATAGTGATATATACGTTTAAATAGATTTATATATATTTTGTGACGATCCTTAAACTTATGCGCTTAGAGCTTAATAGTTTAGAGCCACTGAGGCGATTAGATAAACCAGTTTAGTTTAGTAGTGGTACGAAGGTTATATAGATTTATATATAGTTATGTAGTGTTATTAATTATATATAGTTATATTATGTTATATACGGTTAGATAGACTTATATATAGTTATGTGAGGTTATTGAATATATATAGTTATATAGTAATATATACGGTTATATAGATTTATATATAGTTTGTGACGATCCTAAAAGTTATGCGTTTTATGCGCTTAATAGCTTAGAGCTACTGAGGCGATAAGATAAACCAGTTTAGTTTAGTAGTAGTTTGAAGGTTATATAGATTTATATATAGTTATGTAGTGTTATTAATGATATATAGTTATATTATATTTTATAAGATTATATAGATTTATAAATAGTTGTGTAGAGTTTTTGATTATATATAGTTATATAGTAATATAAACGGTTATATAGTTTTATATATAGTTATGTAGAGTTATTGAATATATATAGTCATATAGTGTTATATACGGTTATATAGATTTATATATAGTTATGTAGAGTTATTAAATATAAATAGTTATATGTACGGTTATCTAGATTTATATATAGTTATGTAGAGTTATTGAAGATATATAGTCATATAGTGTTATATACGGTTATATAGATTTATATACAGTTTTATAGTTTTATTGATTATTTATAGTTATATAGTGATATATACGCCATATACGGTTATATATACATATATAAAGTTATGTAGAGCCATTGATTATATATAGTTATATAGTGATATATACGGTTATATAGTTTTATATATAGTTCCGTAGCGTTATTAATTAAATATAGTTAAAAAGTGTTATATACGGTTATATAGATTTAAATATAGTTATGTTGAGTTATTGATTATATATAGTTATATAGTGATAAATACGGCTATATAAATTTATATATAGCTATGTAAAGTTATTGAATATATATAGTTATATAGTGATATATACGGTTATATAGATTTATATATAGTTTGTGACGATCCTAAAGTTATGCGTTTTATGCGCTTAATAGCTTAGAGCTACTGAGGCGATAAGATAAACCAGTTTAGTTTAGTAGTAGTTTGAAGGTTATATAGATTTATATATGGTCATGTAGTAGTGTTATTAAAGTTATTGAATATATATAGTTATATAGTGATATATACGGTTATATAGATTTATATATAGTTTGTGACGATCCTAAAGTTATGCGTTTTATGCGCTTAATAGCTTAGAGCTACTGAGGCGATAAGATAAACCAGTTTAGTTTAGTAGTAGTTTGAAGGTTATATAGATTTATATATGGTCATGTAGTAGTGTTATTAATAATATATAGTTATATTATATTTTATGAGGTTATATAGATTTATATATAGTTGTGTATAGTTATTGATTATATGTAGTTATATAGTAATATAAACGGTTATATAGATTTATATATAGTTATGTAGAGTTATTGAATATATATAGTCATATAGTGTTATATACGGTTATATCGTTTTATATATAGTTATGTAGAGTTATCGAATATATATAGTAATATATAGATTATATACGGTTATATAGATTTATATATAGTTATGTAGAGTTGTTAAATATAAATAGTTATATATACGGTTATTTTGATTTACATATAGTTATGTAGAGTTATTGAAGATATATAGTCATATAGTGTTATGTACGGTTATATAGATTTATATACAGTTTTATAGTGTTATTGATTATTTATAGTTATTTAGTGATATATACGCCATATACGGTTTTATATACTTATATAAAGTTATGTAGAGCCAATGATTGTGTATAGTCATATAGTGTTATATACGGTTGTCTAGATTTATATATAGTTATTTAGAGTTATTGATTATATATAGTTATATAGTAATATAAACGGTTAAATAGATTTATATATAGTTATGTAGAGTTATTGAATATATATAGTGATATAGTGTTATATACGGTTATATAGTTTTATATATAGTTATGTAGAGTTATTGGATATATATAGTCATATAGTGTTATATACGGTTATATAGTATTATATATTTTTATGTAGAGTTATCGAATATATATAGTCATATAGTGTTA